TATTATCATCAAAGATGGCTTTAATAATACATGGTTTTTCAGCTTTCTTATATTCTTTAACGGAATACAATGTTTTCAACAAAGAATCAAACTTGTGGGCACTCATATCGTACGTAATGTGTTCAGATTGCCTGATTTTTTTTTAAAGTCAGAAATATATTTAAAACTAGATCTATCGTCATGGAGATAGAGCTCCTTCTACTCTCTATCCAACGAGCATCAACAATCCACTAGTCTGGCCGAATGGACTCGGCCAATTGACAACTCGTGGTCAACTTCAGCAAGTTCGATTAGGACAGTATTTACGAGAACGATACTCTGCACTGCTCAATTCAACTTATATCGCTTCTGAAGTCAGTAAAAGTCCGGCACTGATAATCACAATTGTCAGACTGTTATAGGTGACCATTCGAAGTACAGACTACGATAGAACCCTTATGTCGGCCTATTCAAATTTGCTTGGACTTTATCCTACTTCGAAAGAAAAGTTAGACTATCTACTGTCGAACTTAACAGGAGAGGACGTATGGCCTGTAACTCTACCTTGGCAACCAATACCTGTACACACTGTACCATTATCTGATGATTATGTACGCAGTATATTATATAGTGATATTATTTGGAGAAATATTCAATTTCAGCTGCAAATAAAAAAGAAAATATTTCCAAAAAAAAAAGCGCAAATTATTATGCCTTTTAATAATATAAAATCTTTGATGAAGTATTCTAGAATGATTATCAAATCTAAATCTTAGATCAATAGTTTTTCATGAAGATTAAGAGGAGAAAATTTTGAATGTACACCAACTTTGCACTTTACTTATTTTTGCTATACTGAAACTAAACGGATTGATGCCCACCATGTTGTTGGTAGGTTTTCTTTTAATGTAAATATTTGTTTTTTTGTGATCTTTGAACAAGGCAGCTAATTCCATTTCACTGAACTACGTAGTTTAAAAGACTCTTTCGAGTTGACTCTGCTAATTCAATTAAATAGCAGTTGGCTGAATTTTTTTACATCAATTACAGAAGCTGTTAAATATTTGATGACGAGCAAACAGTTATCATGATTTTATTTGAAAGCTAGTGCATGTTTCATATTTAGCTACTAGGCACCAGTGAATGTCTACATTACTATGAGCTGATAGAAGACTTACAAAATGAGAAATGGATGGAAAATACAAACAAACAATATCGAGTAAGTCAGGTATGATCTGTGTATATTTATGATAGAATTTTTTCTAAAGGATTTGTTTGATCAACTCGAAATATGGACAGGATTGAAAATTAATAATATATTTGATGCTTGGATTGTCGCCGATACTATCATAATTGAGGTAAAGTGATGTATGTGCGTCTTTATTGAAAATATATCTATTTCTTCGTTCTTTGAAGGGCCTCTACAATATAAATCCATCATGGGCGAGTCCTTCTGTAATGACTCAACTTGAACAATTTCCAGCATTATCTTTATATCAAGTTTTCTCTTTTCCTGAAACGAATAAGATTCGAGGAGGTGAGTTCTTCATTTCATCCATAAAAGTTAAGTATTATCTAGTCTTCTTATTCAATTTCGTTTAGGTCCACTCGTTCGAGATATTATGGAAAATATTCGAAACTTGATCGCTAACAAGACAGATGGACGAAAAGGAAAGATTTACTCTGGCGTGAGTTTATATCGTTCTAAAGATTCATTATTCATTTTCATTGATTTTGGTTCTAGCATGATATAACAGTTGCTGCAGTATTATCTTTCCTTGGAGTGAATTACATTCATCAACCTCCATATGCTAGTGCACTCTTGTTAGACTTGTATCACTTAGCAGGTTGGCCCTTTTGTCTTTCATTCTTTTATATCTACAAATACATTTTCTCTATTTTTTAAGATGATAATAGTTATGCCTTGAAAGTAGAATATTTGAATTCGACAGACAGCCGTACAACTCAACCAATGGAATTACCACGTATATTATTAGCTCTCTCATATACTATTATTACTTTCTGATATTTTTCGATCTATAGCATGTTCGAATACGCTGTGTCCCATAGCCACATTATTCGAATGGATTGAGAATAAACTACCTAGCAATGATATGAAAAAAGAATGCATGGCTCAGAGACCTTACTTATCACGTATGTGAAAAAAATTCATGAAACTGAAGTAGTATGATAGAGTTTTACTTTCTTTTAGGCACTGCTCATACTATTCGAAGTCTTTTTTCTTAATGACTCACATATTTTTCTGTACACGTCAATTATCTTCAGCATCGACATTGCCGAAAATCTGAACTTCAATCCTTCTCTAAATTTGATTATATAGAAAAATCTATATGATTAATTAAGTGAATAAAATATTTTGCTTGATAAATGTAGTTAGAAAAACAAAACAATTGTTTGACTAAAGAAGATTGAAAGACTTCTTCATGAATTTGTTCAATGGCAATTTCAAGAGAGAAGTCGCTGCTTTAACTGAAATCTTGACGATATTATCAAAAATTTAGAATAGCTTTGTTGAACAAATTCAGGCTGGACTTGTTTCATTCGATTTTTTATATATTAATGATCTATTCATGAAAAATTTAGATAAATTCTCTAAACTAAGCCTAATCTTTGTGAATTGCTTCAAAAAGAAAAGTAATTTTTCATCAGAATAATCAAAATTAAGATAAATGCAGGGAAAGATAGCCCATGGTGTGATCTCTCATAAACAACAACAATTTTTACTCAACATCTCGTTTTTTCCAAAAATGTTTTGAAGATTTCCGTCATTCCCTATCCAAAAAATAAGCTGTTTTCGGAAAAAAACAGAAAATCTTTTTCGTTTTTACTCGTTTTATATGTTTTCGATCACGCATCCCAGAATTCTGGAAGGAGACCCATTATAGTCAATAGCTTTTTTTGTTGTTTGACAGGGCATGACAAAGCTTCTTTTTTGAATTAAGCTATATTACTATTATATGAAAGAGTACTTTTATAGTTAATGAACCATTTGTTGTGAGTTTTTTTAGATGTTGGACTTTTCATCCCTTTTTTGCCCTTGAAATGTAAGAATTTGAAAAATAAACGGCTCCGGCATACCCTGCATATTGGCATGTGCTTTCAAACAAAAAAAAAGCTTGATTCTGTAGAATGAAAGCTCATTGAAGACTTTGGGTTGCCAAATGAGCTACTTTGACCTTTGTTTGTTGAATATTTGAAGACGTCATTATATATGACTGACAATTTTACCATAGCTCCTCCCCTACAGCCCCAACATATCTTGAAAATTTCATGAAATTTCCATGTGCCTAGACCGAAATCGACCTTGCGGAAGATACTAATGACCTTAAGTGTCCGAATACTTTTTGTACTGACTGTAAAATCTCACTCACCTGTGTGCAAACTTTTTTATCAAAGGTAAGAAATATATGGCGAAAACAGTATTGCCATTTGAGTTCATAATACTTATTCTGTGGAGAGAAAAATGTGAGATTTCCCCATTGCGATACGTTAAACACACTTTCACAACATCACTACCATCGGTTCCAATATAATTTACGTAGAAGCAAAACGTGACTAGTGTAGAAAAGCAAGCGTAATTTATTTTGATTACTTTCGCAGATATAATCATCGTATGCCTCGTGGATATGATGAGGAAAGAAGACAATAAGTGTGGATTCGTATGAAAGTTAGAATTTTATGTGTTTACTGACCAAAGATGTCAAGCAACTTATTTTCTTGATGCTCTTCGTGGGAATTTCTTCACTGTGGCGAGAAAACCGTAAGCGAAGTGAGCATAAAATGAAGTCTACTCGGTTCGCTTTCTAAATGGCTAGTACCACTAGATGATTGAAAGCTGAGCCTGACGATATCAGACCATCCGAGTGCAATCTGTTGCGGTTTTCCGAAGCGAAGTGTTGATATTTGCGTATTGGTCTCAGCCGATTTCCGATATCCTATAATGGTCAGTTTCAAATTGTCATTCCAAGCGGCACACGCATCGATTGAGACAACGCCAAATAATTTGTTATTATCTTCAACACTGATTGATCCAGACTGACCAGAGAAGATAATGAATCGATTACCAGTGGAATTGAAGGCGACTGTGTAACCACTACTCGAGCACTGTTTTTTTGCCCATGGTTCGTTCAGATACATGAAATCAGTCCATATCAGATCATAGCGGTTCGCGGGTAGAACGGCGTAGTTATGTCCAGAATCAGGCAAATCCGCAAATGTGATTGTCACAGGATTTATTTTGGATGCCGATCTGAGAGTATGAAGAGTAATCGACTCTGAAAAATAAAGAACTAAGGAGACTCAATTGCTTTAATTTTTCTCTCGTTCAGATATCATATTGTAATTATCATTACAGTAGAAACTAGATATTTTTTGGCATATTATGTATGAAAATGAATAGGCTATGGACATAATAAAAAGTCTAAGTCAAAAAAATTCAAGTGCATATGACAGTTAACTTCAATCAATTCTATGATAATTCTTGCCATAAATAGCAATTAATCACTGGTTTTTTTTGAAGTAATAGTTTTGCAAATATTTCAATAGTCTAGAATGAAAAGAAGGCGCAAATGTAATCTGTATCACAAAAATGAGAATAATTTTCTGAAAATTTTGTGCCCAATCATATTGAGTTTCATTAGCATAATAACTCAAGTCACTCTTCTGTTCTGCCTGACGAAGTGGCTTATTATGTATATATGAGTCTGTTTTTGGATGCAATATGTTAAGATCATGTACACTTTCTCGCATGTATATCCCACTCATTGTGTTGAGACAAGAAAATTGTAATTTTTTGCGGACGATTATGCGATTATCGCTTCGATTTTTCGCAATTCCATGTGAATGGTTACTCAATTCACACTCTCAAAATCATTACAACACCAATGGCTCATTCTAGATATCGATTGTGAAATCAAAAAAGTTATCTCTAAAGAACCATTTGTAGTTGGTTACAATCTGAAAGATCCTATTTGATTCTAATTCACAAATATAAAAAATGTCTAAGAGTTCCGAAGAAGACTCCACCCACTCGATCTTGTTACAAAGGAAGCTTTCTTTGGCAGTCTACCTGCTTTGTTCGTCGTCTGATATTGTTTCACTCCAATCAGACGAATATTTGAATTTGCCTGATTATCGTCAATAATGTCAATTGTTGATGGGTTTTGAAGCATTTCTCGAAGTTCTTTCAGTTGTCCCATCCATTTCTTCAGATCCATTTCTGTATAGTCATCTGATTCGCGACCCGATTGTAATTCTTTAGCCAATTCATAAAGTGACGTCTTCAATTGTTGCTTACTGTGATCAAGATATTTTCGAAGATCCATTCGAGCTTTTTCTGCCGCTGCCTGAATCTTCTTAATTGATTTATGCTCCCAATCATCGATTTGTGAGAGAAGAGAATTTGTGGCATTCTCTTCGAAAAGATCTCGTTGAAGTAGATTATGTTCCTGTTCGATATTATCTATTTCGAGAGCTAGTTCTTGTCGATGTTCGTTGAAGTGTTTCCCACAAAACCATTGTTCACAACCACCACATGTTGCTATTCCTCCACTTTTGCAACATTTTTTACAAGGTTGCTTGGATACACTTGATGCCATGTCTTAACGTCTGTATAACAAAATTCAAATATTCTTCTTCTTCGTAAGATTCTTGTTGAACGTTTTCAATTTCGAATGGAAATTGAAATGCTCAAAGGACACGATTTCTTGTAACGCCTTATCTAGCAACAGAAACATCTAATAACAGCAGGAACGCTTAAACAAAGAATTAATTTTGCTCGTTCTTTTCACATGAAAATTGACGATAAACGGAAGAGAAAACTAGAGTGCCAGTTGAGCGAAACTCGAATAGAGAAGGCGGCTGACTGCACGAAGTACGATAGTCGCCGTTTTGCTTTCTGTCACTGAAGGACTACGTGAGTTTAATGCGTAGTTATTTATGAATTGAAACCAACCTCAACACGTCAATCACATTGGTGGCAAATGGACCTGCTGCTCCATACTTATAGCAGCCTCATGGTGGAGAGCCATGAAAGAGTTGCTTTATCATTGCGACACATCTAAAAACCAGAAGGTTTTTAGGTTAGAAAGTCTGACAAACTGCGAAGAAAGCGATTATGAAACAGACAAAGATGTCAGAAATTGCGTTGTAACTAGTAACTTGTGAGTTATTACTTCGGCACACCAAGAAACTAATCGGTGCTTAATGAAGATAAAAGAGATTGTATTCATCTTGCTATACCTAAACATCTAGTGATGAATTGCTTGCTACCGTGCTGTGCAATAAGGTAAAAATACATCTACGCATGAAGATTTTTTTGTCTCTTCTCGAAGTCATGTGCATCGAGGATGCCTGTGAGTAAGCTGCAGATCTGAATGAGAAATGAGAACGAGAATATAATAAGCGGACGAACTGATAGCAGAATCTTTTATAACACTCATTGAGATGCACTAATGACAGGAAAAAATGGTTAGTTTCTATCGATTGTGTCATGAAATTGTGGGCACCGTTTAAGGGAAAATATGGACACCATTGTAGAGGCACATGGAATCATTTAACGGCGAGTGGTTTAGCACAAAAAGCTAGCCATAAATATAATATATGGACTTTTGAAAAATAGAATTATGTATTATTACTTCTATTTTTATCATAATATATGCATATTTGAGATTTTTGACATTACATATAAATGTTCAACTTGTTCTACCGATTTACTTCTGTATTTTGATTGAGATATTTGTTTAGTGCCGAATTCAAGTTATCCTATGAGATAAGTTGACTCGTCTCATGAGATAACTCAAAATATTAAGAATAACGTCTTCTAACATATGAAGCGACTTATCTCATAGGACAAGTCGAGTTATCTCATAGAATAAGTCGAAATACTAGTTGAGCGAGTAAAAATATTTCAGTTAAAAGAAGCGACTTACCCTATAGGATAAGTCGACTTGTCCCATAGGATAACTCGAATTCTTTGCAAAATAGAATGTCTCGATGACAAGATACATCTGTTTAAATTTATAAAAAATTCTGTACCAGTTTAATTTTTTTTCAATTATTGACATATTTTTAAGAGTAATTTAATACAACCAGATGTGTTCCAATTCATGTAACCAATCAGATTTACCATGTGTGCCTCTATAATGGTGTCCATACTTTTCATTAAACGGTTGTTTCCCTTAAACGGTGCCCCAACAAGCTCTTCCATGTCTGATGTTACTTAGGTCTGACCAAAAGTTCCCAGATTGCTATCGGCAATTTTATAAACCAATTAATATCGAAGAGTGTTGTGCATGGATAAATAGTGGAATGTCTTATCTATAATAGTATATATAGTAAATCTCTTTTGGACTTAGTTATAGTATTTTTTTCAATAAACTTCAATTCGAACTAAAAAAAAATTTCAAAAATGGATAATGAATACAATCGATATTATATAAAAATTCGAACTATTTTGGGGATAAATCCAAAGACGATTCACGAAGAACTTCCAACAGCTTTGGGATCCAAGGCTCCATCATATCCAACAGTTTCAGAATGGGCAAAGTGTTTCCATGAAGGAAAAGAAGATGTCAATGATGATCCTCGATCTGGTCATCCAGTATCCAAGCTGACAGATGAAAATATTGAACTAGTACGAGAGGTTATCAACAATGATCCACATTCAAGATGGAATATTCAAATTATATACACAAGTGCATCATCGCCGCCTTAATTTTGATTTTTGAATTTACAATACAAATGTTATAAGCAGAGACATTTAAAATAGCCTAAAACACACCGGATTCAGGTTTAAGATTTGAGTTCGATGCATATTTGATTAAAAGAACTTCATTTCATTTTTTTAGGTTATCGGTACTATCTCGGGCCAAGAAAATTTTTGACCTATTAAAAAAAAACCTTGCCCATTGGTCTAAAAATCCTAGTTACGCCGCTAGTGGAGATGTATCATTGAGTGTTTGCCTTTTGAAAAATATTCAAAAGAAGATTTATAGAGCAAGCGTAGAAGATTTGAGTAGTTTAAAGTCGAATACAACGAAAAAAGTTGAAAAGTTTAATCAAAAAAAGTTGTGTATTATTTTACCATGCCGCAAAAGACTTCGATGTGGTATTGGAGTCAATAGTAATGGTTTTCAGTATCAGTCGGAAACTTGATGTTTGCGAATGAAAACTTGGAACTCGCCTCTACCATAAAAAAAATCAGCTCAATTGATTGAAATACAGTGGAGATAAACGATTTTCTTTTTAGTAGATTATTTCTGGCACACCTTGTATATCAATATACTTAACAATTATTATTCATTTGATAAAAATTTTTGTTGAATAATCATTTACAATTGAAAATGTCGTATATAAATTTTAGTATATCTTTTCTATCTCCGAGTGAGTCTAATCTAATAGCTGCCAATCATCAAAAAGTATAACAAGTACTTTTACAAAATAATTCATATATTCAATGGAATAATTTAACAAATATAACTCATATCTTCTATCAGAATATTGAAAGATCACTCGATTAGTTTTTCAATCTGATTGTCACAATAAATGATTTTTTTTATATAAAAAACAGAAGAGAATTTCTCTATTTTTATACTATGAGTGGCTGATATACGTAATGAAAATCTACACATACAAACAACTTCTAACGGGTGGCCCATAAAGAATGAGCCCATCAGTATTTTGACTATAAATTTTTTTCTTCTTGACGCTTAGAGCTGGTTGTTTTTCTAAAAGATGCGCCGTGAAATTCTCTGCAAAACCTTTATCAAACTTATTTCTGTAGAAAGTTAAGAAAAAAATTAAACGAAGAACATCAAACATATAGAAAGTGCTCCACTTTCAAAGCTATTTTGATGCACAAATTTTCGATTATTTTCAACAGTTCTGAAGACAACATAACAAAAGTGAAGATGTTTCTGGGTGCTTTGAATTGTATTCTTTTTCGCCATACAGCTCACACTTTGTTCAAATGAAAGTGAGCATTGAAAAACCTAATATTCCAAATTTATTTCAAAATGATCCAGATCTGCTATTTTTTTGCCGATTGGATTTACAGAGAGAACCGAAAGTAAGATCAGGGTAAAATGTCGTCGCTGAACCTGTTAACACATTCGACCCGATAGATTCCACCGGTGAAATCCATAGTGACTGGCAGAACTTTGCATGTCGTATTTTAATCTCTAACGATGCTTTATTAAGAAAGCAAATTATACCAAAAGATGCAGCGTGAAAAGTTCTACAATCTGGAAAGTAAAGCTTATTTGAATTTGCGTACTAATTTCACGGAGGCATATTTTAGAAAAGCAACCAGCTCTAAGGGTCAAGAAGAAAAAAAGTTATAGTCAAAATACTGAGAGACTCATTCTTTATAGGCCACCCGTTATATAAATGACTTTATAAACAATTTCAGCAATAACTACGCCATCCACTACTTTCAGGACTGAATGGATAACATTAGAATTCAAATTTTATTTAGTGTATATTCAGGATAAACACTTTTCGGCTTTTCAAAGTTGTAGTGTATATTAAAATCTTTTTCTTTGTAATGAATTTTTATTAATAAACTTATTTATTGGAAAGGAACTCAAATCATTCTGTTTAATACACAATAACATCATTATTTATTCAAGAAATCCAGAGATAAAATATGGAGAGGAATACAAAAACGAAAGAATTTCATTTCTAGTATGAATAAACAAATAAATCATTTTACACACTATCGATATCTATCGAATCATATTCTATGTAATTGCCTGAACAGATCGAAAATAACGTCTGAGTGAAGAAGTGAATAATCCATAACGATATCTCTTTGTTCTCTTCTTCCACAGTTACTAGTAACCGAAGATTTTTCTACTAATATATTAAATAATCTTGTTAACGAGTGAAAAGACTAGTTTTTATTTCGAAAACGTTCACTATATTATAAGTTAACTTGAAGGAAAAAAAATCTACAGATAATAGGAAAAAAACGAACAATAGAAGAAAACTACGTATTAGAAACAAAGAGATACAAGGGAAGAATACATATATGTATATCGTATGTTCGATACGATGTGAAAGCACAAGAAAGAAAAAGAAAGAAAGAAATAGCTCATACTATAGCAAACCTCTTTCATTCTAGATTTCATTAAAAATGAGTTCGACAAAAAAAGAAGACAACAAATAACTTGTATATCCATTTGGTTGTATACATGATCTTTTAAAAGTCAAAAATTTTATATCACCAATAAACGAAGTAAGAAAAAATAAAAAGTCTTCCTATAATATATTTCATTCTTTTAAGGAAAAATTTGATTTAATTGCTTTTGCTCGTGTACCAAATAAATTGCAATATTCGATTGATTATAAATATAAAGATATACGTATACATACACTAATAGCAAACAAAAAAAAAGAGTACATATGATCATGAAAGTAAGAAAAAAATTTTTTTATAAAATAGAATAAACAAAATGATTAATTTCAGAATGATCAATTTAAAATTGATGAAAAGTTTGACTTTGACTTGATCGATTACGTCGAAGAAATTGATCAACAATATAGGTAATGCTCTCTCTTGAAAAAAAATTCTATTTTTCTTTATAGATTAAAAGATCAACAAAAATTCAATCAATTATTATATGTATTAATTCATGCAATAAATATGAGAATCAAACCTGACGGAATGATGCTTGATATGAATGAACCAATGCCATCTAATTTTCATGAACAATGTGGATCAAATACAGATAATTCATATGGACAATTATCTTCACATCATCCACAGGCTGAAACAGTAAGAAATCAGAATAAAATGCAAATGGAACATCGTGAAGGTAAAGCTCAACATATGTATGGACAACCACCATCATTATTAACATCTACAATGGCTTTTACATCTAGAGGAGGTCATTTCGGATCATATGATAGTTTATTTTCATCTAGAAATAATGCAAATGAAGTACAATTAACAGCATCATCAATACAAAATGAATTATAATGAATTTGATGACATTGGTATAATTACATAAGTGAATGAGCAACTTTTTGATTTTAAATATAAAAGTTCTAACAGCAGCGAAAATAGTAACTACACAATGTATAAAGAGAGACTACCATTTTGACAGAATTTACTTTATATTGAAATGATCGAGACATTGTGAAATTACATTAGCAGTCTTCAATAGTGACAAAATGACGTAAGCATCGAGTGTTNGCTGAAAACCGCAGGTCTGTAACTTGGTCCTATCGAAAGTTATTCAAAAAACATTCGAGTGCACTGACTTCTGGCGCCGATATTAGTTATTTATCAACGAATCATCTCTCGGCTGATTCTTCAAATTAATGATATACAAAATTTTTATCACATCAAGAGATTAGTTGTAGAACACACAGCACGTTTTCTTTTATCTTGTGATGCAAATATGATCTTTTGACTCTCTCTCTACTACTATAATTAACACCACGTGAGAGAAAAGAATGATTTGAGAATAAATAGTCTTTCGTTAACATAAATATGAAGTAAATGAGAGGCGTCTGTCCAGTTCATATTCATTCATAATGATTGTTATTAGTTTGTGAATAAATGAAAAAAAAAACGAAAAGAAATGTCCGATGATCCATAGAGTACAAGAATTAGATATTCGGAATCAACACAGTGAACTGTATACAATCATGTATTAGTGGACGTAAACGTGAGTCATCTATTGAGAAATTGTTCTCATAATATTCGTTCTCAAACTCTCAGCTTAAAATCTTCTATGTAAAACTTTCATACGGCTTAGCTAATTGATCCGATTATTTCTTTTTTTTTCTGTCACAGATGAATACACTCTACTCGATCGATTAGATCTTTACGGAAGACGTTTTCAAGGACTTCTTATCATCGGTTCAGATACATTGAGTGTAACTCATCAGTGGACTTTTTATCGGTTTCTTAAAAGTGATATGCATGTGACAACACTTTTGATGGTCGAGATATATGTTTGAATTCATGTCAGATTAAGTGCATTCTCTTATGTTAACTCTAAATAATGTACTTTTCCATCTGGACAGCAATGAGAATTAGTGTAATAAAGCATAAAACAGAAATAATCTTATCACTTACAATTGATCATATATTCGACTAAGATTTCCACTATTATCATCATCTGATAATGGAAAAAGTGGCCAACGAGTACGAATAAATTGTTTCCAATCAACTGTTGAATTAATCAATTGATTCCAACGATTTGATGCTTTAGCTAATGCATATATACTTAAATCATCCATACATTTCATTATTGTTAACATAACTTCAGGTGGTAATTGACTTAAATAAGACGTATGATCATTCCAAATAACATTTGGTACTGTTAATTCAAGTAAAAGTTCATTTAATAAATCATTTCGTCTATTATTTGATGTTAAAGAAATAACAGAATTATTTGTTGCTTGTACTGATGAATCTATACTTGTTGTTGTTAAGGATTTTTTGGCTTGTTTAGTCGTTCCCGACGCACAAGCATATCCATCATCAGTATCTTCATTTCCTGAATCATCAGCTTCACCTTTCTATTAAATATAGCAAAAACAAAAATTTCTTTACACAAAAATTCTTGTTTTTTTTTTTTTTTTATTATACATCTTCGCAACCATTAGACTCTTGCTGTTGATCGATTCCATGTGGATATATAAATGCATGACATATTCGACATATTGGATCACCAAAACACCGAGTATAATATCCTTCACAATAAAAACATGGAGAAAACTAGAAAAAGAAATTTTTATTGTTAAAAATTATTATTTTATTTTATTTATTAACAAACCTTATCTACATCATTCATTATTGTCTACAGAATTAAAATATCATCTATAATAAAACTTAAAATACTATCTTCATTTGTTTTAAACATACGCAAAAGAGAAAATCAGCACAAGAGTTCGAACTGAAAAGAACTAAAATCAAATTTTTTTCGTGTCGAAACATTCAAAATTGAAATTCATCAATAGTTTGAGCATTCAAGAAAGAAAATAATATTCAACGTTATTAGCCTATGTACGAATCTATGATTAATATTTAAAATGAAACATATAATGAAAACCTTTGATATTAAGTCGATATAATCTTCTATCACTATCTTATCTTTAAAAAATAATATTTTCAGCTATACAAGATAATATTTGTTGTTCAAGTATAGCACTAGATCCACATGTGTATATGACAATTGTACAGTGGTGTTCAATGCTCGTTTTAATTGATTGATAAATTTAAATTGAGCGGCCATATTTTTAGAACAAAATAATAATAAACCTGACGCGAATCAAGTTGAAAACAGATAGTAAATTGAAAACCTGATCTACTGACTGATGTGAATGTATCATTGCATTATTTCTCAAATGAATTCACTTATGCACTTGTGTATTTAATTTTTGAATCTGGAGAAAATAAAAAAATAATTATACACAAAAATTAGGCATAGCTTACAATATTTTTGTATAATGAGTTCGTTCTGGCGCTTTTTACTTTTTAATGTCTACTCATATTATTCACTAACGATACCATTACTATCTATACATATTTCAATGATTCCATAACGTTTCTATACCAACCCTCCATCATGAAAAAGATCAGCTAGCATCACCTATTCATCTTCTACAAAGTACCAACACAATATTTATCACATCTTGTTCTTCATTTTATGCTGATTCTTAATATATATAAATCTTAATATTTGGCCCAGTTTTAGAAAAATATTCACATAGTGCATTTAGAAATAACCACTAAAACATAAGCGTCTTCGTTTCATCAGTCAGTAGCTCACATAATATGCATGCATACTTTATTTTTATTTATATTGGCTGTTTTATTGATCAATTGATAAAGGAGATGCATATTGATTTGTATAATATTACTTTGTAAGTCTGACATCTGTCGAACGATACAAAATAGCGAGATAGATTGCTGATCAATTTTTTTTTAGATAGAATATTCTGGCAATAATATTTATTGCCGATCATCGGAATCATTTTCATTGTTCATTAGATAAACTCACTGCTCTAGGTTTCATACGAAAAAAAAAAGAAACATAATAATTATATTCTCTTTAACCAATTTTTGTTTCCAATTAGAATAAATCAACTAATACAAAACCTATTTGGTTTGCTCTCTTGGTAATTACCAGTTTGTCGGAGACCCTATTTGAAATACCATGTAATTCTATTTCCAAAAAAAAAACCACTGACATTGACATTAGTTGTAGCCTTGACTCACGACACATCCAAAATTAGATGAAAAAGTAAAGGATTTTTCTTTTTTATAAACGACAAAATGTTTTATTTCTAATAATATACAACAAAAATTTGTTGACTTCACTGAAGAAAAACAAAAATTTCCTATGATTAAAATATTACATCATTGAGATAGGATCTCTTCAATTCCAACCGGCCAGTCTTGTTGAATCGATATATTTATATTATATTCATTTTCCCATTAGATATAGAATTTTGTCAGTTTTTTATTTTCAGATCAAATATTTTAATTATATCTTTTTATTTGACCAATACTGAAATAAAGTAATTGTACATTTTTTTTCTATATAAGATTTAAATCTATTTTTATCGTTTTTAGTTGCAAAACCTTTTCTTTTCCATATGTATTAATAATTATATATACAATATTGTTCTCGCAATTAGTCGTCTTATTATTCAACAGTACTAGTGAGAAAAGCTTTTTCTATCCATTTCTAATGAAATGCATACAAATAAGGTTAGGCTTTTTATTTTACAGTTCATGCATCCTTTCATTGACATTTACGAAAGAAAAGTTTCCACTTACTTGATTCTACTCATTTCTACCGAACGCCCAAATAGCTTACTGTTACGATTAAATTGTTAGAAAATTTTCTATTGGCACAACTCATTTTCAGCATAAGAACGTAATAAATCTGACAAACAAAGGCGCACATGTTTTATGTAATAATTGAAAAAAAAGAAAAGATATGATTATAATGTATAAAATTGAGTTGATTATATAATTTCTTTTCAGAATAATTATTATGCATCATCACAAATCAACTAGTCATGCGTATAACCACATATTCAATATTCTAGGCACGTGCCGCTTTTCTTTTTTTCTCATATAATCTTTATTTGAATTCTCAATTGCACTTGATACCCTTTGCATATCTCAAATAGTCATTGAGATCTTGTTTTTTTTTTTTTTTTTTTTTTTGCTTATTTTATAATTATCATCATTAGATATAAAAAATATAAATACTATATGCTCATCCATAAACACTCATCATCATCATTATCATTAATAGAAAATCTATCATAAAAGTTTACAATCTCTTATTGTATATAGATACAAAGTTTATGATCTACGTAGAATATTTGCTTGTCTAGGCTCAGATAGGTTGTTGATAAGTTTATTTTTTTCTTTCACATTTGATATCTACTTACGTTCTTTTTTTCTTTTTTCTTTTCTATACTTGTCTGATTAATTCATATTAATTGATGGATGAATCGGTTGAACTAATTTGTTTTCTCAAGGACAATATGAAGGTTTTCATCATAATTATTATTATATCAAATAATTTCTCTATCAATTAATGAACAACTCGATATATCCTCTTTTTGCTTGTCATAAGATAGTTTTCAGCTTTTTGACGATATTTGTAAAACGTCAATGACATATACATCATGAATGTTTACATTATACGACGCCCATTTATAAGATAAACATTAATGAAAGAATAGATGCCATCTTGAAATCTTCTATTGCTAGTTCTGAACACAACTAATAAAGTTTTGAAGAAATGAAAAAGAAAAAAAAAAAGAAAGAAGAAACCCTTGAAATATGAAGTGTGATGGAATAAAAATGCACTATGCATATGTGCGTGCATATGGCTTGCTTGCATGATGTTGTTTGCCTTTCATCACCTTTCCGCCATATAGATCTCAATACTGAGGACACGTTTCAATCGAATATATACATGTACACCTCAAGCAAAAACATTACTCTATCAATCATCAATTCTTCTTATGAATAAGTACACCATACATAGAAGAATAGGGCAGATGAGATGAGAAAAAAAATGAAAAAGAAAAGAATAGTATATGTGTCTATGTGTCTGTATTGATTCACGATAGTGTTAAGAAAAAAAAAAAGTGTCAATAAAAACTTGCTATAGGCTAAAAAACATATGAAACAATAAAACGAACAGTTTTGTTTTAACAATCTTGAAGTATTTTTCATTTCTAAATCTAGATTGCCAATGGGTTAAATTATTATCATTAAATATATCTATTTAATTGAATACATAGTTATATCCTTTTATTGACTTGCCAACAAATATTTGCTAGAAAGTTTTATTATTATTACCCGTATTTGTCATTTTGTTTTTCTTCCAACAAATATGACTATTATTATTCTCATTTTAGACATATAAACACGTCTGATTGTTCGGTATTTTTTAACATAAATAAAAACTTGAAAATGTTGTGCAAAGTATCATATGTCTGATAAGATATGCATTTGCCAGACAATGGTCGTAACAAGCACCGTATGTAATATTGTATGAATGAAATAGTAAAAAACAAAAAACGTGAGAAAAAGTTTGAAACAAAGAGCAATATATATCTGTATGTATATAATTTATGTATAATAGAGCACGAGAGCAAACGAACGGACGGTGAATGAAAACAGAAAAAAAATCTGTTAAAGACGAGCTTAAACATACTGTGGAGCTAAACTGCTGTTCGATGATGATGATAATGAAAATGTACGATGTGTTAATGAATTTGTCATTGTTGATAATATAGATGAATAGAATTCTTGTTTTTGCTGTTGATTTTGTTGTTGTTGATATTGCTGTTGAATTAGATTACCATTATTTTCATAGGAAAGTAAAGCTCGATTAATTTCTTGAAATGAAAAAGGAGTTTTTGATGAACTTGAATTAGTTATTATATGAGAAGGAGATAATGGTTTATAATCACTGGTAATACGATTTCTATAGAAAACAAACACAAAAAAAAACAATTATCTTTCTCTTGTTGTTAATTAAAAGAAAAATTGATTTAAATACCTAGTCGTTGATTTTTGTATTAATTGATTAGATCGTATATCGGAATGTCGTCGCATTGTTGTATCATTTGTATTTGTTGTTGTTCGTGCTTCATGAATATCATGAATAAAGTGACATCGAGGACCATATGGACAATAACCAGCTAAATAATAAAATGATATTTACATTAGAAAAAAAAAATAGATTTTTTTTTCCTACTTGTATGAAATGTCCGACAATATTCAGTTTTATATTTTGGATGACGCATTAGTATTCTTAGTTCTTTAATTCCATGTGAAAATTGACATTTATCACCATATTTACATTTTCCAGTTTCTGTAAATGGTCGACATAATTCTGTTTTATAACGTGTTACACATATATGTGATTGTGTTATTTGTGATATACTACTATTTGTAGTTCTCATTTGATGTTGATCGTATTGTATTGCTTGTTGTTGTTGTTGTCTTATGTCAGTTAGAAGTAGGCGTGGAGATGATAGAGATGATGTTGATGAATCAGATGATGAATAAGATGAATTTGAATCAACACTTGGCATTACTATATTTATCTGAAAAAATTAAGATTAATAGATATATTTTTTTTTTCTTAGTTCTTCTTCTGTTAAAAAGAAAAATAATAATAATAATAACAACAACAACAACAAAAAAGAATGCACAGCCAAGCGTGTTGTAAGATGAGAAGATGAAAAACGTGTGTGTATGTGTATAGAATGTAGATATTATTATGCGTGCGTAGCGTATAGTAGTAGTTAAGAGTCGAGAATACCAAAGAGAAGAAAGAACAGAACAGTCAGAGTAAACGTCACGATGAATACAATATTGGAGGAATGGAATGAAACGGGCATGCAACGAGTTATAGTAGTTGTAGTAGTAGTAATAGTCGTAGTATGTACTAGTGAAATTCTCCGATGAATGAATAAAGGGCCGCTTTCTCTTTCTTTCACGTCGTTTTTTTATAGAATAAAAAAAAGCAGGAGAATCGAGGGTAAACGAAGATGAGATGCAAACTTGTAGTATCCATTTGTAATGTATGGTTATATGTAAAACTCATTCTTTCTTTCCTTCCTGTCATTCATTCGCTTCTTGGCATTTTTTCTTACAGGTACCGGTCAATAACCTTTTTTTTTTTTCTGTTCTTTTTTTCCAGAGTCGACGTTACTTATGACCGGAAGAGAAACGCGCTATGCCATGATGCTGAATATATATATATATATGTGTGTGTCTAGTACCTTTCCTTGTATCTATCTTCTTTCTTTGTTTCATTTCTCATTGTACAATTAGTATTGTATGCGTTCGCATGACGGTAGCAGGAGGTCGACGGTTTTTTTTTCTTCGTTTTTTTTTCTCAGACAAAGTTCACCACTTCTCTACCTTTTTTTTCCAGTCTCACTCTCTCTCTCTTTCACTCGTCCTTTTACAATGACTGTATGCGTCAGAAAAAAAAAACAGAATTTTGAAGTACTGATGGTGTAATTACAATTTTTCAATTTTCTTTTTCAAGCCTGACTCAGATCAATATATATATATATATAAACGTATATGTGTAGATAAGACTTATGCTTAGTTGATAATTGAACTTAATAGATATGTATGATGGAAAATTGAAAGTAAAGAAGGCCTTGACTTTACGAAGAGAATTAAAAAAAAAGAGAAAATGAAGAAACGAATGAATAAATACGAATGATTATTCGGCATCCACCATGTGTTGTGTGTGACTCGTAAAAGTTAAGATAAAGTATCGTACAAAGGCACACTCACGCTCATTCACAGGATCAAGAGAATGAGAATGAGTGCACACATAAGAAAAAAAAGTGAGCGAGAGAGAAAAATGCAACTACAAACTTTCATACATACACACATATAATCCAAGATATTATCTATATTGATTATTGCTATTGATTTATGTAATATCCATATTTACTTCTTTGATCTCAGCATGAAGATCGAACTTCAATATTATTTTGGCAGCTAGAATACTAGCATTCAGATATATTCTCGACATTCAATTAGCTCGTTGCTGCTGTACACTTGATGCACTACTCATTAGAATTACACTCTTGACAGAGTAACAAGACCAATATTTCTAGCTTGTATTGTCTTCATCTTATCGCCGTTGAGCGGCATATTCACACAATTGAAAGTCGATAATTGTACACTCCATGATATTCAAAAAAGAAAAAAAAAAGAGAATTTTTTTCTTAATGATCGAAATCTGGTGCATAATATGAAGGAAAACATACAATAATTGTTAGTAATTGTTATATATGGCAACAGACGTATTTGATGTTTTCATACGTATGTGAATTGTTCGTTCGATTTAGATTGATATGGTACTTTGCGACAACTTGATGGTCGACAAAAATTATCAATACATTTACAAAAGAATATTCTTCTTTTGTTAGAAAAAAAAAAAATAATATATCATGAAAGATATCAATCAAAAATCTATTGAAAGTAAATAACGGATATGTTATCATTATATCTAGAGTTGATAATTATCGATTTATTTTTTGTTTATATTAAATTTTTATTTATCTTGAGAATTGTTTTTTAGTTTATATCATCATGAGAATGATGCAATTTTTTGTTTTTTTTCTCAAATGCTTGTTTAAAAGAGTCTTTTGTGATTAATTACAATGACATGCATGACTTTCTATCGTATTTTGATAACTGTAACTTATTATTTTAATAGCTCTCGTCATACAAAATATATATAGTTATATATTTGAGTAATTTACATGTCTCTATTTTGATTAAGTCTTAAGCAATAATTCGGCTGTTGTGTTTTTTTTTTCAATGAATGAATTTTTAACTTCACAATTTCTGACTCATATATATGATGTTAAGAAAAAAAAAGAAGAACGCTATTTATAGAAACATGTATGTAGTACAGAAGAAGAAAAAAAGAGAAATTCTCTGAGTAAAAGTAAATAATCTAGTTTTTAGGGCATTCAATATTTTCTTAAGATAAATAATTAATTGAAATTTGTTTCTTCACCCGTTGTCATGTGAGTTGTGCAATATATACTTCACTTTATTTTTCATGACGACATTTACTCATTGTAATGGAATTGAAAAAGAAACAAAGTATATGAAAGATAGAAAATTATTTATTAATAAATTGACAAAAAAATTCTTTTTTCATATTTAATTAATTTTTGAACATGATTGACTCGATTGTTTTTGTTCAGCATGTATTGTAAATAAATATTGAAAATTCTCAGTTCACAGGACAATAGAATAAGCAGTTATGCACAAGGTTAAAATGTCAATATGATGTAAACTTTTCTTCGACATAGAAGACCTCCTCTCAAGGAAACAATGTGCCAGATGTAATTCAAGACCTTTTTAAATAATTAGTCTCGCAAAAAATTGGAACTTTTAATTTGTATATTTACATCAAAATATACCTAGTTTTCAGGATTTTGAATTGAAAATCTTAAAAGACTGAGATCAGCACTATTTCTGAACTTTTAAAGCCTTAAAAATTATCCTCAAAATGGTTTTGGTTTTCTGAAAAATCCTTTTAATTAAAAATTATGAAACATAATAGAAGATCCAGGGTGTTCTATTGCAGAGAATGGTTTACGATTCAATTTCAATTGAGCTTCTTCATAATACTGAATCTTAAGGTTAATAAACTTCTTCAACATCTCATTTTATAGAAAACGATTTGTTCTGCAATTTTTGATTTTGACAAAAATTCTACTACATTGCACATATTGAACTCTGTTGTTGATTTTTGTCAGCAATACAAAAAGAAAATTTAGAAATTACTGATACATGATAGTTCTAGCTGATAAATTTATTTGAAACTAATTTTATTGAATATCATAAAACTCTCGTACGTAATAAATATTTACTTAGTGTAGAACTTAACAAATGGATTAGCTGTTATTTTGTTTTTCATTGAATAACAACGCTAATTACAATTTAGTAGTATTCATTTCAATATGTTACTACATTGTATAAATAATATTACAAAGAATAACACTTTCATAGTTACTAATTATAATGCAACATCAATGAAAACATAAAACACTATCATTTCTCCTACTCAATCACATTGATGTTTATTGTTTTTATATGATTGTAGAGAATGAATATTACATTCACGTGTTAGATGCAAAAAAACAAGACTATTTTTTTTTCTTAGAATGTAGGTTAAATTACGATTTGTTTTGCTTTCTAACAATGGCAGTATTCAGCATGTTTAAGAAACAACGTCATAATGAGTACGACAACTTTAAAATAGACTCAATCACCTTTTCCTCTCTCTCTAATGTCTATTTGTCAATCATAAATAGTATTTAATCAAATAATTATTTCTCATTGATTGCAATTTTTTATTTGTTCGAGGATATAAACCTCGAACTATCTATTTTTATATCTTGCCTTTTGATCTTAACATGTTTTTAGTCTTTGAAAGCGTGACTTTGCATTAATAAAAGCACGTAAAAAATGAAAAATGAATCGGTTCGTGATGTACGTATCGAACACCTGTTTGAGTTCCCATGCTTGCTATTCAAGGTGCTTTTTCTTTCGATATTGACAATAATCTCTTTTAAATGAGAGACAAAGACGGAAAAAAAACCATATTCGATAGAATAGTGCAATTTTTTAATCAGTTGATGTGCAATAATAATAATGATAACAATGATTAGAGTTATTTGTTTGTTTCTACTGGAAATTTCTTTTGTCTTAACAAATGAATTGACCGAGGCAAGATCTTTCTAGTTTTGACTTATAAACTTTCTTATTATCGATTGATATAGATTTCCAATCGAAATAAAATAGTCAAATCTGACAATAGTATTGTTGAGTCAAAATTCAAAGAAAATCAAAATCGTGCTAATGTACCTCAATCTCTTACATTGCTCATGAATTTTAAAGATGATGGAACGACATCATTACAAATTATACAAGGTAATCAATATGACGAAAACAAAGCATTTAACTTGAAATAATAGTTATCCGATTCTAATATAAATATTTGTAATTTTTTCTTTTTTTTCAAATAGGATTGGAAGTCGTTTACTTGGATTATGGACTTTGTAAATATGGACAATTATTCGATCCAGGTACTGGTCGATGTCGTGATATTTACTGTCAAGAAATTAATTATAAATTTAATGGAACTAAATGTATACTAGATGAGAGTAAAATTGCTGTATATGTTTACAAACGAATGAGTTATTTTGATTTATCTATAGCACATTTTATATTAACAACATAAGGTAATGAAATTGAAATAAAAAATATTTCAACACGTCTTTACAATCAAATAAATGA